TAGTCATTCATCCCTGATGAACAAATTGTATGTGAGAGACGGATTTGATAGGGTTTGGATACAAGGCTGGAGAATTGTGTCACTGTGAAAAGAGGGCCCCGCTAGAGATCTCAGTGTAAAATTAGAGGACATCTAGAACAACACCACATTTACATAGTTCTTCAGTATTGGTAAAAGGGTTATTTATACTTAAAATTCAAGCTGTCAAAAATGGAGGCATTGCACATGAGGCTAAATATTATTCAGGGTTTTTATCAATTGATGTTATAAGCTGTCAACATTTAAATCTACCAATGACTTCTGATACTGTGTTGTACAAAAAGAAGGAAAACACCCTTTCAACAACTTGGGATTTGAGCCATTTTTGTATGATTGGGGCTGTTCACTAAGTGAATGTTGTTGTGTTTTGTGATGAGGTGGAGCAGAGGGCAAGGGATTTGTAACTGAAAATTTTTAGCTTGTCCTATGAGACTTGTTAACTTTCTATTACTTCAGACTAATCCATACAGAACTCCCAACAACTCAACTTGTGGCTGATCCAACCAATGGCATGAGGTGGACTGATAGTTCTAGAAAAATTATACTCTTTGGATTTTTTAATTGGACAGGAACCGTGTATTATATTAATAGTCTTAAAGCCAGAGAACTGAGAATGTAATCTTTTTCCCCTGTGTCTCTAAGTGACTCTTAATTGGAGTGAGGTTGGCATTTCTGACCTGTATCTACCTGCTGTTTTCTATTGGGTTTATACTCAACCTTGAATACAGATTTGGACACCAATTAAAAAAAAATTAGCTTCAAGTTTATAAATTTCTTCACTATAGAAAGCTACTTTTACATGTAGAGTAGTAATTTTTTTGTTTTGTTTTAAATGTTAATTTTTAAATTTTTTCTTTCTGTTATATTTCAATTGAATTTTTGATTTTAAATTTAAAATTTTTTCTTTGTTATATTTCAAATAAAGTGAAACTTGAAATGATCTGAAAATACTTTTTTTTTTTTTTTTTTTTTGAGACGGAGTTTCGCTCTTGTTACCCAGGCTGGAGTGCAATGGCACCATCTCGGCTCACCGCAACCTCCGCCTCCTGGGTTCAGGCAATTCTCCTGCCTCAGCCTCCTGAGTAGCTGGGATTACAGGCACACGCCACCATGCCCAGCTGAATTTTTGTATTTGTAGTAGAGACGGGGTTTCACCATGTTGACCAGGATGGTCTCGATCTCTTGACCTCGTGATCCACCCGCCTCGGCCTCCCAAAGTGCTGGGATTACAGGCTTGAGCCACCGCGCCCGGCCACTGAAAATACTTTATTATTGGGAAAAGAGATGTGGAATTTTTTTTCAAGAAACACAATTTGTCTTGGGGCATGTAATAACTTAAGCTAAGTTAATAAAGTAGTATTAAGTAAAAAGAGCTCAGTAACCCCATAATAAAAAAGAATGATTTTGATGACTTCTGATGTTTAGATGAAAATAAAATAAAAAACTTAATGTTCTTGAGTTGATTTTCTTAAGTATGTTATGGTTTCCTGTAGTTTTCATTCTACTCTGTACAGACAGAGAAAAAAGGTTTGCTGAGCTCAAGTAAACATCAGCCTTATATAACTTTTAAATTTATATAAATAAATGAAATTTTCCTGCTATTCAGGGTTTTTTTTTTTTTATCAATGGCTGTTACTTCTGAACATTGTGACTATAAGAATTTCAAGTCATATAATTGGCATCACCTTTGTACTTGCATTTTTCTGTGCCCTTAAGCACAGCTTTATGAAGGGAAGAGAAGTTTGTTCTTTTTGATATGTTAAATTTTTAGGTGTGCTCCTTCAGTATTAGAAGATCCTAGATTCACTTGTTTCAAATGTAGAAGTCTTTCCCATAGATATTGTTTTGATGGCCCGTTAGAAAAACTTTCTTGGTAGTAGCTTTTGTCTCTAAGTGTTCTCTTATTTGAATCATTGATCGTCACTAAATATTCTACTTGAATTATTTATTGAGTTATTAAAATCACTAATTTGAAGTTACTGCTTTTGTAGGCATCTGCTTGTAGTTAATCCCCTTTTGGGGTCCTTTAGGCCTTTTGAAATAGTTTATTAATTGCTCACATGTGATAAATGTTACAGTTCAACCCTAAAATGTTAGAATAATTAAGAGTTAGCTGTACTTGCTCAATTTCAAACAATTCAGATGCGATACCAGCAGCTACTTTTCTACTCACTGCCAGATACTTAGCGAAATGTTCGGAGAGTGTGGGGAGGTGTTGATCTGTTGAAAAGCACAATCAATTTTATTTTAGGCTAGTAGGCCATTCAGCTGCTCGGTGTTCTGTTTTGTACTAGAAGTGACATTAAAGAATACTCACAGGCCGGGCGCGGTGGCTCAAGCCTGTAATCCCAGCACTGTGGGAGGCCGAGGCGGGTGGATCACGAGGTCAAGAGATCGAGACCATCCTGGTCAACATGGTGAAACCCCGTCTCTACTAAAAATACAAAAAATTAGCTGGGCATGGTGGCACGTGCCTGTAGTCCCAGCTACTCAGGAGGCTGAGGCAGGAGAATTGCCTGAACCCGGGAGTCGGAGGTTGCGGTGAGCCGAGATGGTGCCATTGCACTCCAGCCTGGGTAACAAGAGCGAAACTCTGTCTCCAAAAAAAAAAAAGAATACTCACAGATGAGTAGATTTTACTGCCAGTGCTGATGATCTGAAAGGTTAGAGCTGTGCTGGGAACTCTCTACAGTTGGTTAATAACAGTTCTGTCAGAGATTGCCTCAGTATTAAGTATCAGTCAGATGTTGAAACTTCAGTTAGGCCTTTAGATCATGTAGTCCATATATCCTTTCTGTAGCTACAGTAGGATTTTTGGACACTGGCTCCCAAAAGTCAGTTACTGATGATAACTATTGAGGTTTTTACTGTAATATGCTTTCTAGTTGAAATATTAGTATTTGTACAATTGTATATCTAGCATACCACACAACTAGTTTTATGAAACAAAAAATAAACTAATAAAGAGGATACCTTTTATGTATTTTATGTGTGTTAGTGTATTTCCATTTGCCAATATATTCATACTAGTAAAAGTAGAAAAGAATACATTTTTAAACACCTTTTAATAGTGAGTACTTTAACTAGTAGGTGAAAATCTTCCCCCAACCAAAGGGTTATTTGATACGTAACCAAAGGGTTATTGGATTTTTCTTCCCTGCTTTTCTCTAATTAATAACTCTTTGTCTATTTTAAATTTAGATATACAGGATTATTAAGATTCTTTTATAAATACTTTCCTGAATTAGCATTTTCACAGCCACAGTTTTAGAGTTTTTCTTTTTTAAAGGTATAAATGTAGTCAAAATATTTACAAAAATTATCAAATCATGCTGTGAACAAATTCACATCACATCTCTGGGCTATTTTGACTTTTTAAAAATATCATTTCTGAGCAAACATGCTGAAGTTGATTTAAAAGTAAAATTAGTAATCCACAAGCTATGAAAATAGCAAAATGAGAGAGAAAGGGAAACTTTGCTTAACATTAACAGAACTAGTGTTACTTTGTTTCTATTTATCATTCTTATTTTAGTCCTTGTTTATCTGAGCATTGATATTTAATATAAAAGTTGTAGGTAAATCTGTGTATATAACATAGATGCCAGTTAATAAATTTTATTTGCTTATAAAATACTGTAGCTAGCAAGCTATGCATTTTAAGTAGCAAAGTTAAATTGGAATCTATGGAATTCCTCAAAAATGAAACTGAGAGAACCTACTTCTATTCCTTAAAAAACTGCTTATTCTCGTGTCACATGAAATACATCTTTTGTATCTCTTTGTGCCTCTGGCTTCTTTTCTGTAAAATGGGCTCAAGAATTTAATTGACTGCCTTCATCCCTTTCAAGAACATTGACAGATACCTTGAAGTCTTTGGAAGACAAAATGCCACCCTGTGTATTTTTTGATACTAACTTGCCTTGTAAGTATGTACTATGTATTGTACACAGTGGCGTGGTGTGATATTGTGAACTGTTTTTTATGAGAACAGAAGTTGTTTGCATGCTTTGATGTTAAAACTATAATTTCATTATTAATGTTTTATAATTTCTGAACATGATTCTTTCCTCTGTCTCCAGTGCAGTGGGCATTGTCCCTCCAAATACCTCTGTGTTCTATGCTGTTCTTGAATAAGAGGTGGGAGGTGGGGTACTTAATGTTTTCTGGCATTCTCTTAGAAATGTGCAAAGAAATTGTTGTACACCTTGGTTAGGAATATATCCCTGGTACAGCTTGGTTAGGAATATATGGAGGAGGGCTTTATTAGCTTAGGAATAGACAAAAGAGTCCTCTGTTTTCTCATTTTTAGGTTTTCTTCCACAGGTTTATGCTGCCCTGCATTTTGTTTTTAGTGTATAGAAAGTGCAGTTAAAGGACAGAGTCCCAGTCTAGGATTTTGGGGACCTGGATTCTTGTCTGTGCACTGCTTCTATACTAGTATTCACTTTATCCAGTTCTGGACTATTTCCTATCTTTGTCAATGAGGACATTGTGGTATGGTGATGCTAGTGAGTGAAGAGGGATGTTGTTGCATTGAATGCCTAGACTCCATACGATTTTGAAATGGTGATTAAAAGTATGTATAAAGCTACCTGTAATTATTCATATGAAACTGTTACAACTCATTATCATTTTCTCTATATTTGCATGTGGAGGTTAATTTTTACTGCCTAAGAACTTTGTTGTGTAACTCCCAGCATTATTAGTAAATGCTTGTGGTTAAATGGCCCTGTCTCCTTTAAAGGATTTCTAAGTGCTGTTTGTTAAACTTTCTGTGGTAAAAATTATTCTTGTAAAGCAAGATGATAATTTTCTTATCTAGTTAATATTTGTAAAGTTTACTTGGTAATTTTTAGTCTCGTGGTAGAGGTTTTTCTCCACCACGAGACTAAAAATTATTATTTTTTTTGAAAAACTTACTGGTTTTTTTTTTGACATCTTTTGTCATTCTTTTCCAGAGAATTCGGTCAACAGTGGATGAAAAAGAACAAAAACAACTTCTTATGGATTTGGACGTAGTAATGCGGAGTAGCGATTGCCCATACATTGTTCAGTTTTATGGTGCACTCTTCAGAGAGGTAGGAATAAACTGGGTTTTAGCCGATGAATGAGTATCTAATTGGGACAAATGACGATGGCAGGATTAGATTCTAATCTTAAATGCCATACATTAGTCATAAGTTAATATCTTTGTATCTTAGTATGTAACCATGATAATCTACACAGTAACTCCTGACACTCTTTTTGGAGTAGTGGGTAAGGGGTGAATCACATGTATTTTTGTGTGTGTGTGTGTGTGTGTGTGTGTGTGTGTGTGTGTTTTAGTATTTGTGGCTATCATTTGTAAATCTTATATTTCCTTTTTTTATTTACAAGTATTTTCTTTAAAAACCTGACAAATCAACTGACTTCTAAATATCAGTGCTTTTGTTATAGGTTTAGATTTTCATTGGGTCTTGAACAGTGCCTCCCCCAACTTTATTTTTTAACTTTTACCCATCTGTCATCAAGTGTATATCTGCATTTTTGTGTCCCTGCCCATAATCTTGAAGTATATCCAACAGACATGGAAATTAACAGTTATAATAGAAATTCTTTTTTTCTGATTCTCTTATCCAGATTTTAGTGTAGAAACTAAAGCTCTAATTTCTTGGTCTTATAATCATGTTTCTTCTTTTGGCCTCTGGTTATTCTGTATCCTAACTTGGATTATCATTTCTGCCTCCAGCTCTCAGTCCACTTACACATTTCCGGTCATCCAGCTGCCTGAAGTGTGGAATTGAGTTTGGGCTAGGAGTAGAGCTGGAGCTGTAAATGAGTCAATGAATTATAGTATCCTAAACTACCATCAAAAATGGTGATACTTAGTTGAGTAGGACTTGAACTGAACTGCTAAGCATTGCAAATACTCTTAAAAAAATACCTTTCTCATTTTGAAAATGTTAGGGTGAATAGCTGGGTTATAATAAACTGGTAAGAAAAAGCCTCCCACTCCTCTCTTCTTTTTGGGATGGGATCATAGAGTGTAGCCTTGAGGTTTTTGCTGTTACTGGCTTTAAAATGAATACATATTTTTAAACAGGGTTGAATGTGGCACTGAATAGAAATACATGAAATCTTATAATTGGAAAATATGTTAGAGGTTAGTTAATTCTAAACCTAATTCTGAAATTTTTATTTGTTTTTCTGTGCTCTTACTAGGTAACTAGTAACAATGCATTCTACTTCATGACAGAGCACATTTATTTGTTGAATCACTAATTGTTAATTCTGGTCTCATGTAGTTTCTTTTTATTCCTTTCTTGGTACTTTTTATTCATTTTTATGACCAGATATACTGAATTTATTAATTTTCTTCCATTATTTCACATCAGCATTATATTACATCGGTATACAGTCATGTATTCATGTGTATGACTATATCTTGGACCTAAATATTATGTAATATTATTCTAAATGTTTGGAACTTTCTTCATGTTGCATAAGAATCTTTCCATCTCCTCCTCTGCCTATTCCCAAACTGTGAACTTTTCTTCACAGTCATTAAATCATCACACCATATGCAGAACAGTAGCTAATTAGGGATTGAACTAGGTCTTCTCTCCTAACTAGATTCTCTGGTCAGCTTTTTCATTGCTGTATTCATTTTCACTATAGACTTTCCCCAGCTCTATCTGAACTCTAAATCGCCTCCATAGTGCTGGAACATACCAATTTAATTCACTTGTTCACTTATTTAGTCATTCATTTAAGTACTGTTCACATACCTAGCCTTGGGCTAGATAGTGTGCTAGTCTGATTGTATGAAGAGAAAGCGGAGTAAGTCATATCCATGATTGATAAAAGTGTGGAAACAAAGCACAGAAGCTTGGCGTAGTATCTGAACAATATTCTGACAGTTTTCTTATGGATAGCTGAGTAAAATTTGATTTTATGTCTCAGAAAGGTTGAAGGGAGTTGACATATGCAGCTATAAACACTGACATCTGTTGAATGCTTTACAGTTTTCACATATATTGTCTTCCCAATAATCTTCGGGACTTGGTGGTATTATCCCCTATTTCCAGATAGGAAAATGAATTTAGTGTTTTTGACAAAAGTTACACAGCCAACAAGTGGCACAGATGGCATTCCAGAGACAGAAATCTCACTGTTCCTTCTATTTTTTTTTTTTTTTTTTTTTTTTTTTAGATAATGCTTTTTATTTTATTTTATTTATTTATTTATTTATTTTGAGACGGAGTTTCGCTCTTGTTACCCAGGCTGGAGTGCAATGGCACGATCTCGGCTCACTGCAACCTCCGCCTCCTGGGTTCAAGCAATTCTCCTGCCTCAGCCTCCCGAGTAGCTGGGACTACAGGTGTGCGCCACCATGCCCAGCTAATTTTTTTGTATTTTTAGTAGAGACGGGGTTTCACCATGTTGACCAGGATGGTCTCGATCTCTTGACCTCGTGATCCACCCGCCTCGGCCTCCCAAAGTGCTGGGATTACAAGCGTGAGCCACCGCGCCCGGCCTTTGTTCCTTCTGTTTTATTAGAAGTGGTCCAGGGATGAAGATATATATGTATGTATATATACATATGCTTTTTAAATAAGAATTTTGATATAATAAGATGTATGATAAGATGAAGGTTACTTCACACTAAGATGAGATGAAGGAACTACACAGTTAAGTTGTATAAATACACAAAATGCCTAAGTAGATGAAACACGAGCTTTCCCCCCAAATTAGCATGGAATCTGTAATAGGTACTTTCTCAATAATAAAAGATTAAATTTTAGAAAAGCAGAAAGTAGGGCTGGGTGTGGTGACTCACACCTGTAATCCCAGCACTTTGGGAGGCCAAGGCGGGTGGATCATGAGATGAGGAGTTAGAGAGCGGCCTGGCCAACATGGTGAAACTGTGCCTCTACTAAAATTACAAAAAATTAGCTGGGCATGGTGGTGTGTGCGTATAGTCCCAGCTACTTGGGAGGTTGAGGCAGGAGAATTGCTTGAACCCAGCAGGCGGAGGTTGCAGTGAGCCGAGATTGAGCCACTGCACTGCAGCCTGGGTAACAGAGCAAGACTCCGTCTCAAAAAGAAAAAAGAAAAGCAGAAAGTACAACTTTTACAATAGTGAAAGTGTTACTTTTATCATTTACCTTTAAAGAGTGAATAGTAAAAGTGTATTTCCCGAAGTTACAAAGGTTAAAAATACTAAAATAATGAACAGACTTAGTAAGAGTTTAAAGAAACATTTTTCTTTTGCAGTAGATGATTTACGTGCATCTTTTTTTGGTGACGTGACCTTCAGTTCCAGTAATAGAACACAAAATCTGAATTCGTGAAATAGTAGAAATGAATGTATGTAGTTAGGACTTTTTACTTCATCTTACCATCACTGTGTGTGAGAGAGAGTGCTTTCAATTCCTGTTACTGTGAGACACCCTCCAGGGATTCGTTTCACCTAATTTGAACAACCACTAGACTTCAGCTCTTGTTTTGGTTCAGTCAGCCATCCATCAAGGAGCTTCTGAGATGTTATTTTTCTTATTCTTGTAGCTACTATGTATTTATTTAAATTTAAATGTTATTTAAATTTAAGGGGTACAAGTGCAATTTTGTTATATGGATATGTTGAGTAGTGGTGCAGTGTGGGTTTTTAGTGTATCCATCACGCGAACAATGTACATTGTACCCATCAAGTAATTTTTCGTAATCCACCCCGCTCAACTCCTCCCACCCTTCTATGTCTCCAGGGTCTCCAGTTCTGTACTGTGTCCATGTGTGCACATGATTTAGCTCCCGCTTATAAGCAAGAACATGCAGTATTTATCTTTCTGTTTCTGAGTTGTTTCACTAAAGATAATGGCCTTCAGTGTATCTTTGTTGCTATAAAAAATGATTTTATTTTTTTTACGGCTGAATAGTATTCTATTTTGTATACACGTCATGTTTTAAAAAATGTGGACTTTTAGGTTGATTCCATGACTTTGTCATTATACATAGTGCTGCAGTAAGCATACCAGTGCAGGTATCTTTTTGATATAATGATTTATTTTTATTTGGGTAGATACCCAGTAGTAGGATTGCTAGATCAAATGGTAGTTCCACTACTTAGAGATTAATCTTGCAGTTGGGCAGTATTGAGCATCTGAAAGTTCTATAACTTATTCAGAGCAGTGAATAATACTTAATATTGAAGTTGATAACTTCTTTATTGCTATTGTCTTCAACCATGCATACTTCTTCCTAGGATGGAACCGGACTCAAAAGTCCAAAGTACAGCTTGGATTTGGTTTAGATAAGTTACTAGATCGCTCAATTGCACGGGTTTCTGAAAGTCATTTTCAGGCTTTGTAGGTAGATGGGAAAAAGAGCGTGATAATAGTAGAATAATGGAAGTAACTTTTAGCCTATATTTTACAAAAAAGACCTACCACTTATCTTAACAATACTGAAACTTAGTATCACTTAAAAATCCTTTCTTTCACTTAAAAATCCTTAGCTTATGAAATAACTATTGCTAGCAAGCTATAAATTTTAAGTAGCAAAATTAAATTTGTTTGGAATATATGAAATTCCTCAAAAATGAAACTAATGTCTTCTAATATATGAAACTTGAGAATTTCATAGCAGGTGAACTCTGATTTTAAACCTCTTTAGAGGTCGGGGAATAAATTCTAGTTGAGAAAGCACTGTTCTTAGTAACTTGTGAATGTAGAAGTTCATCAGACTATAGAAGACAGTGATGCTGACTAAAGTGAGCCTTTTCTATCCTTACTTCCCCTTTCCTATCTTTATGTTCACCCCTTTTCTCCTGTCCCTTTTCTTTCTCCTTGCAAGTTTTAAATGCAGCTTATGGAGGTAAAATTGACATATGATAAACTTCCCATATGTAAAATGTACAGTTTGATATGCTTGAACAAATGTATATACCTGTAGAATTATCACCAAAATCAAGATAATGAATATACCCATCAGACACGAGTTTCCCTCTGCCACAGAGGTAATACCTGCCACCTCTCTGTTGTCCCCATACTCAGATAACCACTGATCTGCTTTATGCCACTATAGATTAATTTGTGTTTTC